AAAAAGCCTAAATAGTAAGTTGCAGAGTGATCCTGTTTTGTGGTACATCTTTCGATATGGCGGCTGCACCAGTCAGTAGTTTAGGTTAGGTTGAGGTATGTGTAGTTGACAAATTTGAGCAATCGCCTTACTTTTACGTCCGAAAAATCGCTCAGGTCTCCATGGGTTTCAGCCACAGTCTACTCCTTCCCGGGACAATCGTATAGTAAGTACCCTGCTGATTCAGGTTCCTCCTAGTTTCTGCAGATCCTGCATAGCCCAGAAGATCTATCCTCCGCACAGTATAAAGAGCTCTGTACTTTTTCCAAGTCCCATTTTGGCCAGCGACTCCATTGGCTTGCCCATGTCGTTTGAATGACGCTCCGACTCAAAAGGTATTCAAAATGGTACCCGTTGGTGGTAAAAGAGGAAGAAGGAGGCCCCCACTATGATGAAAAGGCCAATTCGAGAAGGACTTGGAATTTCCAATTGACGTCAGTTGGCACAAAAGAGAAACGAATGGCATGCTTTGCTAAACTCGCCCAAAATCGCTTAGGCGGTTACAGCGTCAAATAGGAAAAGAAGACTGTCTAAGTATAACATTCGGCAACCTCATGAATAGCCGCAGGTTTAGCTTGGAAGATGCTACAGTGGTCCGGTAGGTGGAACTACTTTTGTACTCCAAGTTGCTCCGACTTTTATTTCAATTTTAGACCGTCAGTGTAGAACTGAATAGAATCTATGTGTGCGGGAAAATCTTCAGTCCTAGTCCAGTCACAAAATGCATCTGAAATTCCGTATATTCTCTAAATCGGAAGAGCTCAATTCTCGACTTTAAAACCTCCTTGCTACCAATATTTTTCCAATATCTTCCGCATGATTCCTGTGTTAATATGCTGTCCTTTAAATTCTGTTAGTTCTCAATTCTGTCACTTGTCACCCATTAGTTATTTGACTATTTGTTTTTTGTCATGAACTGAACCGAAGAGTTTGCAATTTGCTAAAGACAAATTAAATGCGTCATGTCTATTTGACGTGGCAAGTGCTATGCGTGTATGCAGGCAGGGTTCAGCTTTTGCTAAATACTATGTATGTATGTATGCTCAGAGAGGAAGGAACGCGTTTAAGTTTGCTTTGTTTCGAAGCTGGTGACTCGTAACAAAAACAGCGTGACAAATGAATATTTTCGCGCGCGGACTTACGCATACAGGCGTAAAAAAGAAACTACGAGTATTTACTTAATTAAAGTAAACAAATGTAGTTTATACCATGCATTCGTGTGGGAATGGCAATAGTTTGGGGTTCGCATGGCACTTAGGAGCAACAACAGCTGGTGCACACACTAAACGTAGTAAGTAAGTAAATAATTGTTGGATGAAGTTCCTTGTTAATTAGCTAAATGGATGTTGTGATATTTTCCAAAGGTGAGTGAATCCTTATAGCTCAATGGCCACTTGGTAAAGACTGTTTTGGGTGATTAAATAGTTATTTTTGTTTTCTTAATTCGGTTGAATTGCAAATATTTCGAAGGGCAAATATTTGGTAAAAAAAAACAACATTTAATGGAATTAAATTTTACTACGTATTTTATGTATTTTTTTTTTGTAGAAAAATAAAATCGTTTACATAAATTGTTTACTTTGATGA